AAAAAACAATAGAAAAATACTATGGAAGTCATTGGGAAAATATACTACGGAGGTCAATGGGGAAAAATACTATGTAAGTCAATAGGAAAAAAATATATACTATGGAAGACTATGTGAAAAAATACAATGGAATTCAATAAGAAAAACATTCTATGGAAGTCAATAAGCAAAAAATACTATAGAAGACTGAAAAAATACTATGGAAATCAATGGGAAAAAATACAATGGAAGTCAATAGGAAAAAATACTATATCAATGGAAAATACTATGGAAGTCAATGAGAAAACATACTATGGAAGTCAATGAGAAAAAATACTATGGAAGTCAATGAAAAAAAATCTATGGAAGTCAATGAGGAAAAAATACTATGGAAGTCAATGGGAAAAATACTATGGAAGTCAATGGGGAAAAATACTATGGAAGCAATGGAAAAATACTATGGAAGTCAATGAGAAAAATATACTATGGAAGTCAATGGGGAAAAAATACTATGGAAGTCAATGGGAAAAATATACTATGGAAGTCAATGGATCACCATCAACTATCTGGCTGCCAAAGCATCTTCATTTGTGTTTGACTGAAGTCAAAAACTCTTGAAACACCTCCAGGTTTAGTAAATGATGACATTATTAATATTTGGATGAGCTATCTCTCTTACACATGTATTACAAAGCAAAACATTTGGACATTTGGGACGTTTATGTAACTTAATGGGAATGTTAGCAGAATTGTTTTTACATTTTTGTTAGCTGCACACCCCCTCCGTCTGCCTCCCTCCCTTTCACCACAGTCTCCAGTTATTGCCTTGGCGACTGTTACCATGACTATGCATTTCTTCACAGCATGTCAAGGTAACAGTATGCGCATCTGAGCTTCAGAAACACTGAATATGTCTGATCGGCCCTGAAAGATCACGACACTCCGGCACGCTCAACACGAGCACTGACGCGGAAGCTTAGTATTTACTGCATTCAAATTATTTTTGCAGACAGCGGCTCTGTAAATACACCTCGACCCGAATTATGCACTGACTTTAGCATGCCGCTTAGCTAACAATGCTATTTGTTTAATTACATAGAATTATTTCACACTCTAATACCTGCAGTGCTGCTTCAAACCTGACAAAAATATTATTTGCTGCCCACCTTTTACAGACTTTAAGAGATAGTTCACCCAAAAATAAAAATTCAGTAACCATTTACTCACTTTCAGAACTTTCTGTTGAACACTAAAGAAGATATTTTGAAGAATGCTAAAAAAAAAACCTGTAACCATTGACCTCCATTGAATTTTTTTATTATGGAAGTCAATGGTTACCAGTTTCCACAATATGTTTTTTGTGTTCAACAGAAGAACGAAACTCAAAAATGTTTGAAACCACATGAGGGTAGAGTAAATAGTGAGTCAGTTTTCATTTTGGGGTGAACTGTCCCTTTAAGATCAAAACTGCATCTTTGATTGTTGGCCAGACAGTTTGATGAAACCTTAATCTGCCCTCTGTCTCCTTTCACAGGCAAACTAATGGGAATGAATGAGATCTCGGAGAAGTTAACACTGGGAGACAAGTGTGTGAACGAACATGTCATCGTTGAGAGAGTCACAGCCACTGCCAACTTAAGCAGAGTTCCCTGCGGTTCAGATAAAGAGTGCAGGTAACAAGCGCACACATCAGGACAACGCCCCCGTCCCAAATGGAGTCTTAATGTAAATGATGCATTAACTGGCATGTGTTCGACTGCTGTTATCAAGCGTAATTTGAAACCAAAATATGACAAATCGGACGCCTGATATTCTTTTAGATGGAGTACACACAGGCCCGGATTGGTCAGTCGGGAGGACCGGGAGAGTTCCCGGTGGGCCGGTCTGTTTTTTGGCCGCGAGGGCCGGTGTTAATAGCTACTTGCACTTTCAGCAATCAAACTTTTTTTTCATTTATTTATTTATTTGACCATAGCCTCACTTTTTTTATTCATTATATTGCCGCAGCTCTGCTCTTATTTATTGTCTCGCAGCCCCATGAGCAAAATGCAGCCTGCAGGGTAATGATGATGTAATCATTTTGGCCACACAAGTATAACAGCGCTATTGTGGTCCAGTGGTCAGCACGTTGTGTTATGATGTTGTCAATCTGTGTTCGATCCTCACCTGAGTAACTCGTTTTTTGTTTTTTGTTTTTAAGACATATAAAACTGTAAGGTTGTTGACCATTTGAAGTTCTAAAGCAACTGTGAACTGAAGTGGGCTGGTCTAATGCTTG